GTCTCGGCCTCCCAAAGTGCTGGGATTACAGGCTTGAGCCACCACGCCCGGCTATTTTGATTTTTCTTAGGGACAAAGAGATATATTACATAGACATTACATAAAAAGACCTATGATACATAAAAATATTGAACTTATATGCTCCAAAGAATGTAGCCTAAAAATATCTGACATAAAAATTGACAGAATTACAAGGAGAAGTTGCTTAGAATAAGGTTTCACATATCTCTCAGAAACTATTTAGATTAATCAGGCAAGATAAATGAATAGGGAGATGGAAGATTTGAATCACTCAATTAACAAGTTTGATTAAATGGAATAACAGAATCCTACAAACAATGAGAGATAAATACCTTTTTAGAGTTTTAGACTTTTGAGTGATGTCATTCCATTACCTATTCAAAAAATTAAACAAATGGCATGTATCATGAGATTCCTTTTAAATATATACATGAAGGAAAGGTGTGTGTATATATTTGTGTGACTGTATAGACACAATTTGAAACAAAGATTACAAACTTAAGCGTCTTCAGGGGCCAGTAGACCAGGGTGGAGGCCATGGGTGACAAAGGGGCAGGTACCCAATATCACAGGACCACCCCCACTCAGCTGGTTCCACCACAGTTTTATTAGAACTTCTTCTTCGTCTATTTTTTTTTTTTTTTTAAGTAGAGACAGGGTCTTGCTATGTTGCCCAGGTTGATCTCGAACTCCTGGGCTCAAGCAATCCTGCCACCTTGGCTTCCGAAAGTGCTGGGATTATAGTCATGAGCCACTACACCCAGCCCTAGAACTTCTGATTTTTCAAGAGAAGGCCCAAACCCAGATTTTGAAGCAGAAATCTTTCAATTTTTATATTTTGCTTCTTTTATTTTTATTTATTTATTTTTTTCAAGATGGAGCCTCACTGTCTCACTCTCTCACCCAGGTTGGAGTGCAGTGGTTCAATATCGGCTCACTGCAATCTTTGTCTCCCTGGTTCCAGCAGTTCTCCTGCCTCAGCCTCCCAAGTAGCTGGGATTACGGGTGGACATCATCACACCTGGCTAATTTTATGTATTTTTTTAGTAGAGACAGGGTTTCACCATGTTGGCCAGGCTGGTCTCGACTTCCTGACCTCAAGTGACCCACTCGCCTCACCCTCCCAAAGTGCTGGGTGGCTGTGAGCCACCATGTCCTGCCCAAATTTTTGAAAAACACTAGGCAGTTGAGAGAAAACACATGTGTGGCCACTGGGGTAGGACTCTCCAGTAGACATCTGGAAGATCTGCCAAAGTGTGGCTGGCCTGGAAATAGAATTGGCAATTTTCCCCATGCTGAGCTGCCATTAACACATACAGCCAGTTAGCTTGCTCAAAAGCCCATGCAGGATTCCCCTATAAGTTAAATATAGAGCTACCATATGACCCAGAAATTCCACCTCTATACATGTACCCTAAATAACTCAAAACAGTTGTCCAGCCAAATATTTGTACACCCATGTTCATAGGAGCACTATTTATAACAGATGAAAGATGGACAACCCAAGGTTCACCAGTGGATGAATGATCTACCATTCAATGGAATATTACTCAGCTTTAAAAAGGAATGAAGCAGTGA